CCACAAGATAGAGCAGAAGTTAGTAACAGAAAGAGGGCTCCTCAGGCTCCTTGATGAAAACTGAAGCTCAGCAGAAAAGTAAAGAGAATCTCTACAATAAAGGCACATCAGACCACTGTACTTGGTCTGCTGCTGGCCTGCTGAGACTCATTGACTTGTATATGCACAGGGATTCCTGCATTGCCTACTGTGACAGCAGAGACAAACCCTGAAGGAGGCCCATAATTTCTAGTGCTATTTGCAAAAAAGAAAAAAAATTTTTTTCTCCTATTTTCAATTCTTAATTTTTACTTTCTCTCTACTCTTCAAAGTTTTTCTTTTCTTTCTTTTATCTTTTTTTCCCTCTCTATCACTCATTCTCTTGCTGTCCCACATAGCTCCTCATCTCCCCATTTGTTCCTTTCTGCACTGAATTCAGATTTCTCCCTTATTGTTTTTTCCTTCTCTTTTTCCTTCTCTTGATTATCATTAGGTTTAAAGGAAAGTAAATTTGGTATCTAGCCTCCCTGTTGCTGTTAGGTGATTCTATTCACATCTTTGTTCTTTCATTCTGCCATTTTCTCTTGCCTTTAACAACTTCTTAGAGTTTGTGTGGTCTTTCTGTGTCTTCTGGCCTCACTGCTAATCTTACCTGTTCTTTCAACCTGTCCCTTCCTCCCCAACTCCTTTTAACTCCCCACCCGAAGGGGAAAGATGCTATATTGAATAGCTTATTTATTATAAACTTATGTTAGGTTGGTCTTCAGTTTTAATTTAACTCACATAGTTAAATGTGATAGATTAATAACTACCACAAATTGTCATTTTCTAAGTTGTGTTTGATGCTATGGTATTGCTGACTATGTCTTTTGGGCTAACATGTTGTGATTGATCTAATTAGTTTTCCTTACTGGTATAAGGAAAATAAAATAGCCTCAGAATCATTTTCCTACCTGGTATAAGGAAAATAAAATAGCCAAACACAAGCGATATCTAGAAGACACCTCTGAAAAGCAATCATTCCACAAGGGTTCTAAACACAAGCAATAAAGATACCTACATTAAGCAATTTTGAAATAGCAACCCAGGAATTAAACCAAGGACAGTACCAAAAACAAAAATGAGAAGACACTTAAGCAAGGCACAAACACAGGCTTCCACACCACAAAAAGGAAATTCTGGGGAAAATGAGGTGGAAAAGTCTGACAAGCAACCACTTAGACACCCTGAACTGAGAGCACAGGAAGTAACAAAACAGATGCATGAGGCTCTAGAAAAATTCAAACAGAAATAATCTCCCAGATAAATACAGACATGGTGAGCAGA